CTGTTTCGCTCTATTGAATGAGCAGTCAGAGAACATCAAGTTCACACGGGAAAAACCCGTGGAGGATTGGCTACCCTTCCTTAATATTCAGGTCCAGATTTCACGGGGGTCAGTCAGGACCAAATGGTACCGGAAGCCGACCAACAAGAACATTCTGGTCCATTATACCTCGGCCCATCCGATAAAAACAAAACAGGCGGTCATTAGAAATATGTTCAGAGTCGCTAACATGGTGTCGTCAGACCAGCAGCTGAAAACAGAATCGAGGGATATGGCCCAGGGCATTGCGTTCTCCAATGGATATTCCAGCTCTGGAGCAGCGCAGCGGGGGTATTCCACAAGTCGGAGAACAATCAATACAACAACGCCTAACAAAGTTCCTTTCTGCTTACCGTTCATTTCCGAAGACCTAAGCAGGGCAGTCCGATCGTTATTGGTTCGATGTGATCTGCAGGACGATGTTAGGATTGTGGAAATACCCCCCTGTAATCTTAAACAACAGCTGGTTCGCAACCGATCCTACGACACCTTATGTGGCACTCCTGACTGCGTGATCTGCCCCTTTGGCAAACCGGGTGACTGCATGAAGTCCGCAGTTATCTACTCTATACACTGCCAGAGCTGTGGGTGCGAGTATATAGGAGAAACAGGGCGCCCCCTTCGAGTACGGATCAAGGAACATCTGGAGGGTCTTAGGAGGTCACAAGCCCATTACACCGCTAGGGGTTCACCGTAGTCAACATCATGGAGGAACGTCATTCGACGTAGCGGTGACCATCTTAGCGCAGGAAGTTGAGATCACGGCGCGCAAGACACTGGAGGCGTTTTGGATCACAGCCAAGGACCCACAAATGAATCGTAAGGAAGAGTGTGTGGTCATAACGCGTGAACTCGCGGCCTTTCTCGACCTCTGCAAGTTTTGACCCACCGAGAGGTCGAGGGAGGTTACTAGTAACTCTTACTCCACGCTTGAGAGCCTCTACAGGGTGGTCGTCCCCGCGTCACGCGGCTAAGATCAAGGTAAGCCAGAGTTCCGCCTTCGATCGATACCGTTGGGTGGTTTACTAGTGTATGGAAATCGTCTTGAGTATTGTTGAAATGTTTGAGCGAGCAGGTCTCTAGATGTTTTTTGACCATTTCAGGCTCTGACGAAGGCGAAGACGCCGAAACGTAGGCCTTAAATAAAGTTATTCGATCTTGGAAGGCTAGAAGAAATATAAGACTATATACATCATGCCAAGATTGCAAGAAAGTCGAACATGGACTATCCCGGACCAACTTTTAAGTTTTCGATGATGAAATTTACTCGTTTTTTGTGCCAGAAGAAAATTAGCGGATTTTCTGATTTTCTAGAGAATGTATGTAGGGAAGGTTGCTTCTCGAAGAAATACGCTGGCGTTGTTGGCACTGATCAGCACGACCTTGACTCCTTTTCCGTCGAGATCCATCAGCTGCTGATGACTGGAACTGAATGAAGGGCCAGCTGCCTGATTCGTTGTTGACGTGGCCTGGTGTTGAGCCCTCATCCCAGATATGACACAAGAAATCGTATAAAATGCTATAGGATAAAGTCTCCGCCGATTACGAGCTATGCTATTCCCCTGAACTCGCAGCGGCTTTGGGGGGGTACTCGGTTTGGCGCGGAGGCCCGTTTTCACAGTTGTTGACGCTGAGCAGCACAGCTGCTTACTACCACACCAGCGGTACAGCACGCGTGTGAACATATGGGGAATCCGTTTTATTGTGGGAAGGGCGGTCAGTACTGGTCGTTTGTCCCCCCCCCCCCCGTCCTGCTCGACGGAAAATTTTTCGGTGAAAAACTGGAAAATGTGGGAAACTTTGGGAAAATGGTGGGAAGCTGGGAACGTAGGAAAGTGGTAGGTAGCTGCTGGGGGAAAGGAAGGGGGGGGGGGCGTCACTGACACATCACATATTATGACGCTGTATCCTGTTTGCACTCCACCATTCACGTACTGAAATTGCCCCAAAGTTCGGATTGGAGGTTCACTAACATCCCAAGGGATTAGTAAGTTAACTAACGTTTTCACCTGCTCGATGTGGCTCTGATGGTCATGTTTCTGCACCAGCAGTGGACTCTGGTATGAGTTATTCTAACTCACTCATGTGAATCGTCCTGGAAAGGTCGTCACCAGCGCACTCACGCCTTTCGAACAAGCGAGTGAAAAATGACGAAAAAAACATGCGAAACTGGAATCATTAGCGTCCGCCTTACATCGTATGTACTACGCCACTGCCGTCGATTTGCCAACAACAATTAGAAGTCGTTTAGAAATCATGTCGTCCACAAAGTTGACTCAGAGAACTACTTTTGCGATGAGACTCTTCTAATTAGCTCTATGTTCGTGGGCCACTCGGTGTGTTCCAAATTTTAGGGAAATTCTTTGATACTTTGCGTCGAACCCTTACATTCTTATTTTTGTTGTTTTCCTGCAAGTTCTTACTTGTTGTTCATATTCCATGTCTTTCACTACTCGTCTTTTCCCAAGCAGATATTGCTAGAATTTGAGCGGAGACCGTGCAGATGAAACAGAAAGGATTGTTGGTCCTTCCTTCCCTCCTTCTGGTATGCGCCATGCATTCGACGTTGCTTCCGATTAGTTGGTGTCGATGTGGCCTCAGTGAGTGAAAACGCTGACCTCAGCATCACTCGGAGGTCACTACTCGTTTTGAAGGCTACAAAAGTATTTGAGGACAAATTATGCGCTCATCTCCGAGGACGGTCCCTAGTGACGAATGGGTCTGCAGCTGCAGTATCGAGCTACTTTCCCGGTCGAAAGTGCACGGAACGAGGTTTTAGGGTCCTGGTACCCGACTCTCGTCTCCATACTACGCCCGCGATATCTAGAGGAATTGCGTCAAAATAAGGTTTCCAGGGAAGACCCACTCAGCGGCAGAGAACAACCAGAAGTGAGAGGGCGCAGACAAAAAGGGCGCTTGGCTATGGTTAGGTATATGGTTGGCACTTTACTGAAGAAAGGGCACGCCACTGCAGCAGCGGACCCATTCTCCCACCAAAAGGCGAGTCAGCACGTAGGTGAGTGTAGAGTTTGTCTTCAAAGAGCTCACCAGTCTTTCAAGAGGCTCACCAGTCTTCCACGGAAGTAAATTTTATGGCGAATCTTGAAGAAAATCATCAACACCGGACCTTTTTTTTCGTCTTTTTTTCCGCAAAACATCTCTTCTTTTTCTCTCATATTTTTTCACACTACGTTTGCTATGAGTTTTTGACGAAGTCGTCAATGAAAGCGCTCCGTGTAGACGACCTGGGAACGAGTGCGCATCGAGGACACTAGCTAGTTGGTCCGGCTTTCTATTATAATTATATGTTAAATCATTAATATCCTGGTGCAAATGTGGGGAAGGGATGCGGCTTGCAAGCTGCAACGCCGCTTCCCCTAGGCGGTGGGTTAAAGACCCGTGTTCACCAAAAAAAGCGCAAATGTAGTTGCTGATAGATCGACGCTAGGTGTCGGGTCACGCCAACTATGCTGTGCCGAACTGCCATGAAAGGAGAGGTTCCTAAAGTTGAAACTGATCAACTCTGACGTGACCGTTTCTTCTGATTTTTTCGAGAATATCGATCTGTGTAGATTGAGCAAGACGAGAACGCCCCCACACCAAATGTTACCTAATTTTCAAGCAAATTAGAGGCGATATTCTGTCACTGTTACCACATTATTCTCGCTCGTGCTTTGTTATTTGCTGGTCGCTACAAGTTCTATAATCCTATTGAGTAAACGATGTGAAAAATGTCATTCGGGACCCGGTTCTATCCCAATACCTATTCGATTGTACAGTTTTGAGCAGTCTACAAAGAAGTTGACAGCGTAATTTAACTCCGTTCGGCCTCAGCCAGTTTGCTGTTTCTCTCATTTTGAAAACGGTTAGGAAAAATGCGAGTTTGGCCGAGGCCCTTGAAAAACAACACTTGTTTCACTTTCATTCACGTCCATCTAGTTGTTTGGAACAAGTCAATTCCTGCCGCGGAGGACCATTGTTGGAAGAGATGACTCCCTTGAATTTCTTTCTCTGCTACCGCCCACTTCTCCATTCTGCCTAGCATGTTGCCAATTTTTCCCAGCATACAGTTTTTTTCAAACTTTCCCCTTAAGTTTGCCCTTGAAAAGGGGTGGTAAGGTGCGGTCGTACGGCGTGCTCCACTGTAGGTGTAGGTCTTGCTCCCTCTTGGGAATAAGGCCCTATGAAGGGGACTTTGATGTACAATGGCACCGTCTCTAACTACTGGTTTATTTGTATACCAGCATATTTCAAATTCCTTTTTTCTTTTAGTTTCTTGTTAACCACGTGTCTTTGCGTGAGCGTTTCATTTATCTATTTCTCGTCGAAATCTCCTATCTCGTCAACCTCGACTTACTGGAGAGCGCCGGGGTTGACGGCCCACTTGACCTGGGATTGAGGGGATACTGTGGCTGGGGTGACGGGGGGGATGTGGGGAGCGGGGCGGGCGGCGGCGGGCGGGGGGGCCCCCCCCCCCCCCCCCCCCCCCATTTGTTTTTTTGGTTCCCTGCATGTTTTTTTTTTTTCCCCCCCGGCGGCGGGCGGCGGGGGGCGCGCCGGCGGCGGGGGCGGCGGGGGGCGGGGGGGGGGGTGGGGGTTTGTCCTCCCTGAAACCGCCGCTTTTGTTGTCGCCTATCTCTTGGGATGTTAGCCTTTCTGTCTGTATATCACACATTTTCCGCTGCAATTTGACTCCAAAGTGCGATCGTACAGCTTGACCCAGCATATCGTTCACCGGAGGGAATGGAAATGACAAGGTGTACTGCAGTAACGGCGGGTGAACGAGTTCAATTCTCAGAACTTATGCATTTCCATCTCTGACTATCCTGCTTGTCTTTCTTTTTTTCACTTTAACTGATTTTTTTCCGACTCCGCCGTACTTCAAAGCTTTTCTCATTTCCTGGCTTGCGATGAAATAGAGTCGCGGAAACACGTGAAATTGAAGAATTAAACTAACGACAATGCCTAAGAACGTTTGGCCAATCAATTTTCGATCGATTTCAGATGATTGATTGGCAAGCGACTGAGATACTAGGCCGGTTGCCTGTTTACGGCATTGTTTCTTGCGCTTGTACTGGTTGTTGCTCAGTGTCTGGCATCATGCTTCGAAAACTGGAGGACGACTAGGTAAGTAATGCGCCAGCTTATTAACGGAGGCATATCATTTGTCGATTGACCACCGAGGACATCTCACCGTGGAGGACTTATTCGAACCTGAGCGTTTTTGATTCCTTCCTGTGGAGGTTATAGGGCGATGGACCACAGAGTTACTGTTCAAAATACGAGCGCTAATAACCTTGGAAGATTCATTCGAGGGACTCTTTTTTGCAAAGAACTACCATCTAATCGAATTACCGAATTTGAAATGGTTAGCCTATCCTTGGGTTTGTTCACCCTTTAAGTTTGGGCACGTCTTTATCTTCGTTTTTATGATTTTGGTTTTGCACAAGGAAAGCTCTGTATAACCTTTGTATGCCCTCTCCAAAGGAATTGAAGCCAACCAGCCAGTTCAAGAATGGTCAAACATGGCCAGTCGCAGTTTCTTTGGTGTGGTCGGGTTCCACTACATTAAATATGAAGAACTGATAGAGGGGAGGGCGGGGCAGACGATGGATTCCAGTCCGCTGTTAACATCAATGAATTACTATGGATAAATCCTTGATTTCGATGTTCTTGCCGTTGATCAATCCCTTTGTGGGATGCGGCACGCATTCTACTTCCATTCAGAATCGTAGTGGCTTATTGAATGCGATGTGGCCTATACAATGACTTGCGGTGGCCAGCCGATGTACAAGTCAGTGTTTTATCCTCCCAGACGAATCTGGTACCAATTTACCGTCCCCGGAGGGTAGAAGGCTTGGTTGGCCTGGGCGGGAGTCGACCCGGGATTTGAACCCAGGACCGTGCGAGGTTCGAGCAAGGGACCGCGCAAGTGTAAGCGCTGCCACTTGTACCACCACCTCGGCTCCTGGTTAACCATGCAATCGATATGTAAGAGTGGCGACGGAGAAAGCTGCCAATCCAGGAGGCAGACAGCATAATTCGCAGGTATCGTCGCAATCTGTCGGGGCGGTGTCAGGAGGCGTAGAATGAAACAACCAACGGCTGTGTTTTCTGCCAATAGTGACCGGTTCAGGTGGAAAGCAACCAGTGATAGAGAACGCCGCGAGGTTGCTCATTCTACGCCCACTGACTTTTCTGCCTCATTGCTACGATATCGATGCACATAAGAGACCACGTCCACACGCTTAGCACCTCTCACATTGAATATATACTGCCCTTTCAACGCCGACCAGAATATGGACCGAACCTATTAAGGTACAACATCGCGTTTCGAAAAATTTTTGTTAAATACGACCTTCTCCGCTGTGATTTCCGCCCTGGTACCCATGTACCTAATATATCTTGGCGGCTCAAGTCCCTGAGCAAACCTAGTTTCTAAAAGTCGACAAGAATTAAAAATGAAAATTTCAGGAGGAAAGTTGAGGCGGAACGTCTGCCTGACGACTACGTGGACGAGATCAAGCGATTATTGGATCGGCATAAGAAGATTATGAACGAGTATGACTTTCCCGATGATGCGCATGCTGAAGTGGAGACCTTGAAGGCTGATGTCAGTTGCTTTCTCATAAAAACAAATACTAGTATCCTCAGTAGTTAAAGTTTATCGTCACAGTCGAGTCAGGAGGGATGGGATAGGTCCGCCTACGACTTCGTTTTCTGCCAGCAGTGATTGGTCAAGGATTGATTCAGAAAGAAAACAACCAATGGTGAAAACGCCGCGGGTGGTCTAATTCTACGCATCTTGACACCACCCCGACTGATAGCGACGATATCACACCCTCCAAGTCGCCGAGACACGGTAGGCGCTCCTGCATAGTCACTCGAACATGGCATGGGAAGAATATCGTGGGAAATTTCAATTTGAGACAGCTGTCACTTCACCCTATGTTTGGTCAGAGACATGATTACAATTGTCCCTAAATGAAAATATCCGTCCAAAAGGCGGAACCCGTCAAGTCCGAAGGAAGTACGTAGCCACGCCTACCGCATCTCAGGGATTTGATGTGCATATATAGGGAGATATACCTGGCGCAATGGTGAGAAGCACCGCATTGCACGTGAACTATCTATAGATCGAACCCCGTCCGAACCGGTCTTGGGGAGTCGTGGATTTATCAAAAGGGTACAGTGTATTGGGGGGGGGGTCGTACTTGGCCGCTGGGGAGGGGGTCGGTCGGTTTAGTCGCTTGTTGGAAGAGGGAGGAATCGTATGTGCCTTTGAGAGAAATTTGCCGCGTTGGC